TAGCACTGAAGTGTTCCCGTGGTTAATTTGCATTGTTTATTTATCGCATTGTGCGCCGTATCACTAGATCTCGATCGGCACGAGGACGAGAATCTCGCCGGCGCCCGACTCATCTTCGTCGGCGGCATCAAACAAGTCCGCCACGTGCACCGCGAGGGAAGCGAGAAACTCACGTCCGTGTAAGTAAGAAGTTCCGGTCTAATTCCGACGGTCGCGCGGAAGGCGAGAAGTTTTTCCACGATCCACTCCCTCGTATCATTGCGAAAGAGAGAGAAAGGAAAGGAGAGCAGCTCTTACGCGAAATTATCTCTCTCTCTCTCTCTCTTTTGCGTTTTCTTTTCCTCGTTTTGACCCTTCCGCTTTTTCGATAATTAAAATCCGTCGATTAACTATCGAAGCATAATAATCTCGATATCTGAGATTGATTCCGCGACGGTAAGATGAAGATGATACCGAAAAAATCGAGACGCTGACCCAAGGACGCGAAATTATTCCTGAATATCACGCGAAATTATTCTTCAATATCGGAGAACCAGAAGATCTCCGGTTTTAAATGCCACTGGTGCTTGTTTAGTTGTGAATTATTCACCATTTCTTTCTTTAAAGGGATAACGAATTGCGGATTCGGATTTACGGATCGTTATTCGACTGTTACTGTGTATACTGTGTATTGTTAAGTATTAGAATAATTCCGATTATTGCAACGCGTTGTGTCAATAAAAAAGTGAACTGCAAATTATGTAATATAAGAACGGGAAAATATTAAATTTCATATTTGTCCTGTAATTTTATTATGAATATAAAATATCGTAACTATTTTATAAACACTAATATTATGAGAATTCTCTAAGTTATAACATTTAATATAATATTTTTAAATTTACTAACAAAAACGCTATAACTTTAAAAAACTTTTCGTTCGGAATTATTCCGAACGCTCCTTTATGTTTGTTTATCTTAATTGCAATAATAACAACCGCGACCGGTTTGTTGTTTCAATTTTTCACGCATGGCGCGACAAATAACACATTATACGAATATGACATCAGTGGAAATTAATTATACCGACCAAATTATTCATTCAACATCGCGACTTTAATGAACGATCGTGTGCGGGATATATAAAATAAATTCGCGCGAACAAATTACAAAGATGGAAAGATAGAACAAGTCTTTAAGGATTTAATCGCGGAATTTAGTAGCGACGTAATATTTTTAATTATAGAGATAATAAAGGAGAATTAAATATATGTGAAAAATAATTGGGACTCAAAATTCGTTCAACGTGAGAGAGGCAAATTCACCGCGTACATTTATCCGGAAAATTATTCAGTGCGTGCGTCATTATATGATTAATATATCTTCTTTCAATAATTAAAATAACATGTCCCTACAATAACTACGACTTGGCTCTTAAAAGATCTTTCTATTTCTCGATGGTTAATATTTCTAATTTTATGAGAGGATATAAATGTTTAATATGTAATAACGCACGTATCGGATTATCCTCCGGATAAACGGTGAATCCACCGTCCAAGTTAAATGAATCGTGAGCCCCAATAATTTTTCTCATATCCCTTTAAGACCCAAGAAAGCAATTTTTCCTTAAAGAGATATAATCTTTCTATTTGGAGACTTTTTGCGAATGCTATTTTCCTTGCAAAACTACCTTAAAATCGTACAGAAAAATCATAAGAAAACTTTCTTCTTACATATGTCTCAGAAACCCACGATTGTGATGATTGGGCACATAGTGAGTCATATATAGATACAATGTTTTACCATCATGATTGTGATGTGATTAGGGCTTAAAAGGATATACTAAATTTCCCTTAAGCCTTCCTAAATATATTGATTAAATTAAAATATCATACACGGAGAGGAAATTTTGCTGACACGACAAATTTGTCAGTTACTATGGTAATAGGAAAAAGATTTGTTAAGGGTATTAATTGCTAGATATATTGACTATTTGCTAGACGTATCGGCAGATAAATAATTTAGCTGTCGATATACCTAGCAAATAGTAATTAATATTCTTAATAAATCTTTTTGCTGTCCAAACAAATTTTTGCTGTCACCATAGTAATTAACAAATTCGCTATGCCAGCAAAGAATTTTTCCCCATACATATATTTATTCCACTATTGATTAACAACTAATTAATATTGATTAATGACTCGCTTTCTTTGGTCGAATTATCCTTCGCGGTGAGTCTTTTTTCGCGCCGTTATCCCGCGGCAGGACCTTGAAGAAGTACGCGAAACTTGCACGTTTGGCTATCGCGTGCAGTCGCCGCCTGATTTTCGCGTGATCGCGGCGTTTCGAGGAGCGTGCGCCCTCGAAGAAACGATACCCTCCTCGAAGAGGTGATTTCGAGAGGGGGAAAGAGAAGCAGGAGGAAGAGAGAGAAAGAGAGGGTTACAGTTAAAATCGCGAAGGAACACACACGTGCGGCCTCGGTGTTCTCGCGCGAAGGCCGTCATTATTACGTGCCCCACCGAATCGATCGATCCCGCACGAATCTTGTCGGTCTTTTTTTCTCTTTTTTTCTAAACTCACAATATAGTCTCGCGATAATACAAGAAGCTTGCGCTTTTCAGACGATTTGTCAAATACGACGTATCGACGGGAGAGGAAAGAGAGATGATTCCCGTTCATTACCGACTCGACGATTAATTCCTCGCGTGTTTTCTTTCACGCGATATCTCCGAGATCGTGATGAGAATAACACGAGCAATTCTTTTTCTTGTTAGCAGCTGGAAATTATACATCAGATGTATGCATATATCATATTCTTTATTTATTAAAGGTATAATAATTTTATGAAGACTAATTAGGCTATATATTATATCTGACGATTATTATTGTATCTGAATGTTTCTCGCGACAACAAATTCCGACAATATGTTCGAGTCGACGTCGAGTCGCGTCGATTCGCGAAGCGGGATTCAAAGCGACTCGACGAGATCATTGAGATAAATTAGTATAACACGCGGCTAAGGTTGTGGCAATAAAGCGCGGATTCCTTCTCCTCGAATCGCGGCTTCCTCGATCGCTGTATTCTCCGGTGGAGTTATTGCCAGAGCGAAAGAAGTCGGGCAGATGGCCGGTTCCACGTAAAAAAAATGTTCACTGGGTCGTAGCAACGGTACATATTTTCTCTCTCTCTTTCCCCTTCTCTCTCAAGGCTCGATTGTATATTAATATAGCTCGTGCTATATTAATATTGTTATTATTATTATTATTATTATTACATTCTCCGCTGCATTTATGCGTAAATAGCTCGACCGCCCACGGGTGGTCCGACTCGCAAAAATGCCGGCCAACTATTTTCGCACAAACCGCGAAGCGCGCACCCGATATTATAATTAGCATCGTTCGCGATGCGTCCGCGCGCCTCGCACCGCCATCGCGCATGCAAATATTTGCCTGGTCATGGACAATGCAAGCCCTGCGCGGGACACGGGTACGCGCACCGGATACGTGACCTTACATCATATGGGACAATAGGAAGCGCGCGCACGGATAAGCCGCCGGCAAACGAGTCGAAACAATGGTGCGCCGGTACGACGAGCGAACCGAAATAATGGTGACGAACGCGTCTTTCCGTTGTTTCTTAGCTGTGAAATCCCGTAGAAGTTTTCACGGTAAAAGCACCGATGTCTGGACGCGTCCCCATCCCTGGGGCGCTTTCGTCATTGTAGTCTCCAAATAAATATAATCGGGAACTTTCACTGTGGAATGAAAGTGTTTTCTTGTGTCCTGAAGTTTTAGTTGCAACATATATTAGCCCTATGAATGTGCACCTTTTGAAGAATAATTAAGGCAAAAGTATCAATGCTTGCGCGCATTCCTGATCTCAGACACTTTCGTCGCTTATGTTTAGATAAGAATAATCAAAGTTTCGATGTGAAATAGAAATGTAGTTTTGTATATATTTTTAAAGTAAGTTTTAATTATACGATATCATCAAATGCATATTTCTATGAATTTATACTTCGCGCAAAATAATTAATTATCTTATTTGTTGGCGAAACGGAGCAAGAATTTTCTAACTCTGTTGGATGCTCGCGGTGAAAATTGATGAATGGTTCGTAAGATTAATTCAACCGTTTAAAAACATTATAATAAATGAGATAATTTCTCAGTTGAAAAGAAATATAATATGTAGGTTTAATTTATGCTGTTCCTATTGAAAATTCATTATACAAAACAAATGCTTATGTAAAACAGTTGGTTTATTCAATTCCTTTTTTCATTCAAATGCTCAATGTAGGAACTAAAATACTCAACTAATTTATGTTTCCTTCCAAAAATAATTTGCTTCTTATATGTTAATAACATACAAAAAAGATTCTTCCGACTAGCTTTTAATTCACAATTGTTCCCATTGTGCTCTTGATCTTTCCGACATTGAACTCCCTTCAATTGTAAACCTTTTCCACATTTTCCCAATCTACATACGTATGACACGTATCGCGATCTTGAAACGATCTATGTAACCATTCAAACGAAGTATTAAAAATCATTATACAGATTCTGAAATCTCATTTAGCGGAAACATGAAATAACTCGAAACCACTGATCCAATATACTAACCCCATCCGACACCTTTTCCCAAACACGACATCCAGGGCGACCCGAAGGACACGAGGATCAATTTTTCCCCCGTTTTCTCTGCAACTTTGATCTCTAGCACATTTTCAACTTCAATCTTCGCTTGCGACGCACAAGAGAGATCGAGAAGGACCGGACCGAGTGAACCGGAAAGCTTCCACACGACATGAATGGTGAAAGGAGTATAGAAACGGATAAGAACGGAAAGAGAAAGAGAAGAGAAAGACCGAGAATGCGGGAAAGAGAGAGACTAGTAGCAAGAGAGCGAGCGAGCAATAGCAAAAGAGAGAGAGAGAGAGAGAGAGGGCGGATTCGACGGGGAGGGAAACGCGGCGCCGTGGCCACGTCGTCGCGACGCTCAGTCTACCGGCGTCGTCCGAACATGTACGACCCGTCCAGGCAGTGCTCGCCGCTCGAGATCGTCGCCGACGACGACGACGACGGCGACGACGAGGACGAGGACGGCGACGGCGGTCTCGCCGCGACCTTGCCCGCGACCGGTCCGCGAGAGAGATCGATCCGTCAAGAAGCCGTTATCGTAACCGGCGTGCCGTGAGCGCGCCGATCGTCCCGTCGCCGCGATCAACCACCGAGTGTGCACACTTGTTCGACCCGCCGATCGAACTCGCTCTGTCTTCCTCCGATCGGCCGGGTCGTCGATCGTTCAATCGGAAGAGGGTAAACGTCGGTAGTGTCGACCTCGGGGAGATCTCACGCGGAAAGGAAGAAAATCCTCGCGAGTGCGGGGACGGAGACGCGTCGAGGACGAGGGTGTTTTCCTTTCGCGAGAGAACGGCTCCGTCGGGCCCCTTGAACGTGGTGCAACGGTTAGACGAAGGGAAGTGCGGGGAGCCGAGCCGGCTGATCACCGGCCGGCCGACACGGGGCTGTTTTTCCCCCAACCCCCCCGCCGGTCGAATCGACTTGCAGCAACGGTGCGGCACGCGTCTCGCCGGCAGCGAAGCTCAACGCGACAGACTGGCGGGAAGCGTCGCCGCGGGGGGATGGACGCCTGCGCTTCGACGCCGGCCTTGGATGCGGTTACGGGCGTCTAGACGCTAAGACGACCTTTTAATTTCCCCGAGACTGATAGATGGGACGCGCTGCGAAACAAATAACGCCACCTTCGTGTCGTGTACGTTCGTCTCTCTGTCTGTCCGTCTCTCCACCCGTCCGTATGTCTAATCGCTGTGAGTACGCGTGTGCGTGAGTGCGTGAAGGGGTATCGCGGACTAATTCCGCGCGTTACATCCGCGATGTCTTCTCGTCGGGGTTGATAATACGCGTCGTCGGGAGGACGGAAGCTAGCGACGGGCTAACCGGCTCGCTCCCTCACTCGTACGAGTCCTCGGAATAATTCAACACCCTCCGGAGATTAACCCTTGACGGGGGTGTGATTCTCTCCCTCTCTTTCTGTACATCAGGGTCTCTCTTTCTCTCTCTCTCTCTCTCTCAGTCTCGGGAGGAGATATGGCATTAACGCAAATTGCGCGTTATGATCACGTCGAAGTTTAACGCGTTATCATTATGCGAAGGCGGCGGCGGGAGGGATGAGAGGATAGGATTAATCTCGGGAAGCAGCGAGTACCGCCGAACTTTCCACTTATACGGCGACTTACGCAATAATAACCGTTATGATGGAGCGCGAGAGTCCCGTGCTCGTATTGCCGAGAGCATCGAGATGAGTAGGGGGAGGGAATGGGCAGAAGGGATTTATCCCAGAGCGCGCGGGTTCTCGCGACGACGATAGTCGGAACTTACGCGGCAACGCCATTATGATTACGTGAGAGCTTAACTCGCGCTATTACGTACGTTGAAAGGGCGACGACGTTGAAAGGATTAACCTTGAGGGAGTGCGTTACAACTCACTCCCTCAGGTGCGTCCTCGGGCTGATAGTCGAAACTCACGTAATAATACCGTTATAATTAATGAAGTCGAGAGGTCGACCTTCTCTCTCTCTCTCTCTCTCTCTCTCTCTTTCTCTCCTGCACGCAAAGAGAATTTCATGCTAAAAATTTATCCAGAGTTTGGGATCCGAGATACATATCGATATTCTGCTTGAATTTATTATCCTCCTGTTTCAGATATGTTATTTATATTTTAAGAACTGAAATCTCTGCTATTAAAAAATTTACTTTATGTTTTATTGAAAAGAGTGATTTTTGTTTCCGTCCACCTTTTTAGACACAAACGAGCACCGAGTCGGGACCGGTACAAATTGAAAGCTTTTGAAATGCTGAAAAAGAATACGCCGGTTTCAAATCTGTCAGCACCTGCCTTGTTCCAAAAAATTTTTATTTTTTAGATCGAACTGACCAAAGCATTGCCTCTGGTTAATGCCTGAATCACGTCATAGGACACATTTTTTCTGGACAAAAGAGTTTATTTTAGGATTGCTTTGTGCCTGTACACATTCCATTCACCTTTGCACTTTCCACTCAAAAAATGGTCTTGCATAGCGAAAATTGAAAAAGTAGAAAGTCGAAATATGAAAAAGTAGCTAAGATTAATAAATGATTAACAAACACTTCAATGTCACATATATATTTTATCTAATCAATATAGGTGACAGAGACAGAATTCTTATCGAGCTGAACTATTTGTCTAAACTAATTAGTAAGAAAATCTTCCTGCGAAGCGTTGCTCCGCTTAGGTTCGGGAAAAGTTACCAATTTTGCCAAGATTTTTTATCGCGACTAATCATTGCATACTCGTTAACCGAGAACGATCTGCAACAGACCGAAACGTATATTGTAATTTATATTTAATGAAATCGTCACGCTTAAATAACAGCGCAGTCTTGGATCTCGTAGGCCAGTTAACTACATATTTTTGTATTGTTAATAACGAAGCTGTATTTGTATCTCTTTGAAACTGATTATTTTCCTTGGCAAAATAAATTTTACTGACAGTCAATTCCACGAAAACTTACCAGAAAGGTAAGATTGAGGGAAACTTGTATTGAAAAGAGAAGCGGCAATATTCTCTCTGTGCAATTCTCGAATTCTCGAAGCAACTTTAATTCTCTCGGAGACTAAGCGTGGGTGGGCGGAGCGCGTTATTGCACCCCGACGCGGTGTCTTGCGGCCGACAAAAATACTCGAAACTCCCATGACAGTCCACCACATGTAATGCACATCGCGACGATCATTTGAAAATTTTATTCTCCACACGAACATCGCGGAAACAGGGTTAACTCTTCCTCAGTGACCGCAATCAGAATACGTTACACGCCCACGCGTTTCGGCGCTCCTCTGAAATCTCTTCCCGATGCGAGAATCGAATGAAAAAACTTTATTTCCCCTTTTTCCTTTTTAATTACCTTTGCGCGCCCGGGTCCGCGTATGTGTCCCACGTAAACTAAAAATTGTAAAATTAAAATTTGAAATGCATCGTCCTGACGGCATATAAAAAGCTAATGCTTCATTCGTTCTTTTTTTCACGGAAGACAAAAGAAAGCCCGAGCGGAAGGGTTCCCTAATAAATGTCGGCCAAACCGAAAGATGAAAGAGAGTCGTTCATTTTACCAGGTCACGTGAATAATATCGAAAACGTGTAGGAAGCTCGATGATTGAAAATCGTAAAAGGGATTAGTATGAAGGTATTCACACGTGTAAACATTTTTCTTTAAAGAATATCCAAATAAAACACGAAAATGCATAACAACCGCACATACCGGGACGTGAAACATTTTAATCGTCGCGGAAAGTTGGACGGTAAAAAATAAGAAAGTCAAAAATGAAAATAAAGTAAAAAAATGGAAAAAGGAAAAAGAACTACAGGAAATCTAGAGGCAAAATCTCGCTCTTTCTCTACCGGTTTTTCAACTCTCGCTTTGCGAATGAGGTAGAGAACAATTTTTGACCGCATGCTCGACCGCGAAGTGCTGTAAATTTCGTTGCTCGCAGGTGACGAAGTATTAAAATAGGCCGACATGCGCAACGCTGCTTCACGATCGACGGCTACCTTCTCACGAGCGATCTGTAGACGTCCCGACGACTTTGAGTTAACCTTTCGATTGGCGGCCGATTGGTTTCCGATTGGTAACGGTGGAGCGCGTTCCACGTGCCGTATCCGAGAAACCGGAGACAAACATCTGTGTCCGGTGGCCTCTTCCCTCCTCTCCGCGGATTTCGGGGTCTCGCACGGCCGAACGTCGCGCCCCTAACAATTCCGCGCTTTTCACCCGTCAATTCGGTCCGCGTGTCCGACAGGGATTAAAATGTAAAAAGCGAGTCGTCCAACTGGATTTCCCGCGCGTCGAACGCACGTCATTCCTCGCGCGCTTCTCGCTCGACGGGGATGCAATTTGTCACCGGCTCCGCTTTTCGCAGGACTTTTCGGAAATGACTTTGCAGTCACGTAACGGCGGGGGGAGAGCCGTTCACCGGAGAATTGCCGCGGGATTATCGTAAGGTATCCGCGCAACGTCGGAAATTCCGGTCCAATCTGCCAGAGATAAGAATTTCGCGCCCGTTCTCGTCATGTGGAAGTACGATATTTTTTTTCTTGACAAGAATTGTTTCCGATCGAACACTGAGTGGAATTTATCCATATTTATACGAAAAAGAAGATACGAATTAGAATTGGAACTGATTTATTGCGTACGTACGTAATACACGATAAACATTTATATCCTCCCGCAATAATACATTGAACGTAATCTACAATAAATATTTTTTATTTTTTAGATGTTTTTTCTCTCAGCGCACCCACTCGTATCTGCACCTCGAGGGCTTTTATTGGCCCATTTCCGCTATCCAATCACATATCCCCGGAACCTTTGACGTTATTTTGGTGATTTTTCTTTTTTTTTACGAGAAAGCGAGAGAGGGAGAGAGAGAGAGAGAGGGAAAGAGAGAGGGTGGAAGAGTGAAGGAGAACGTTCGCTCGCACCCGTCAACACGAAAATTATATGTGCGCGCACGCGGTCGATTAGATCCGTCTCTATGAATATTGCAATATGTAAATCCAGTTTTCTCTTGAACTTGCTCTACTGTCTTTACGAAGCAACTCCTACCCTTCCCCCTCACATTCGTTTAACCTTCACTCACGTTTCCACCCGGACGCGAAACATCCTTGAAGGTCGTGAGCGAGTAGGCCTTTTAACACTGAATGACGGAATATCTCTCGAGTTTCCGGCGACGTCCCGGACGGGGACCTCAAAGAGCCCCAATTTGTATGTAAACCGAAGAAGATCTAAGGAACTCGGAGCCCCGCGTTATCTCGCGAGGTAAACGTTTCTTCAACATCGCAGTCGATCGGGAAAATCATTTCAGAAATTACAATAATTATCTGTAACTTTTTCGTTATTATAATGTTATTATTATAGCGTTATTGTTACATTATTGTCTATTATATCGTTACTATTATTCTAGCTTTATTAATTTTTGTGTTATTGAGCATTCCACGTGTCGTTTTCTACGATCGCTTGTTTACTCTCACCGAGGAAGAAAGGATCGCAATTTTTGCTCCTTTTCGCGCATAATCGCTCGACAATGCCCCGTTTGAGAGTTCCGTGCCGAGCAATTTTTAATACAGAATCGCGGCATTTAATCTCGTCGGTCGGTTAGCCAGTCTCGGGGATTTCGCTCGGGGCTTGGGATTAACTGGAAGCATCCGGTATTTCTTTCGCGCAAACGAGAGGAAAAGTATGCGCATCGCTGTAAACCAGCGGTCGCGAACCGGGCGAAGCAGAGATTCCTTACCGCGATCTTCCCATATAGCCGTGCGGTAAATTCCTGTCGGAGGCGAGTTTTACGGCGGCAAGCCCGAGAGCTTTATAAGCTTACATAATGAAAGTGGTACGACAAGAGAGGCGTACTTCCAGAGGCCCCTCGAGACAGATCAGCGTCTGTTTGTACGCCTACTTTGCATAAGCTCGTCGTCTTCGTCGTCTCTGTTGCCCTTCGAAATTTCACCCGTTTCTTCGACGCGAGCCCACGTCTTCTCATTCGCGTTCTTATCGAAATTTCAATGGGAAGAGCAGAAGACAACGTTGCCATCAGACACGAGCTGTCTTCTGATAGAAGAAACGAGATGCTAACACATACCCGTGATGCAAAATTCATACAAGGCGCACGGTCTTAATTTCCCGTGAGATAACGTTCGCCGATCTCTGTTTTCTATTTCCAACCGGAAGTGTTTCGAAAATAGGAAAATTCGATGCCAACTCGGAAAACGGCAAAAAGGGGATCTCAAATTAAGAGATAACTCTTTTCATAATTTAGGACGCTTCATTTCCGCGAGAAGAATAGATTTCGGAGAATAACGAATTTATGATTTCTTCACGGGGGAAACTAATTATTCACGGAAATAAAGTACTTGGTACACATAACAACAAAATCAAAATAAATATTAAAATACGAGGTTCACGATGAAAGATAAAATTGTCAGTATAAGACCATCGAAGCTGAGCACGGATGTTTTAATACCATTAAATATTAATAATGTTATTAATATGAACGTGGGAGGGTGAAGATGTTCGTGAAAACATTTTGTACTTATGTTAAAATCCTTGTTAAAATTTTTGTGTTGAATTTTTAACATGTCTGTTAATTTAACTTATTATGTTCATGTAATTTCAACATTTTGTGCTCAACGTGTTGCGTCGATATTCAACGTATGTAAACGTTAAAATAACATTTTATACTTCAGTGACTACTAACGTATTCATTTATGACATAATATTTGTGTTTTCAACATATTCACCTTGTATTAAATTAACACAGAAGTTTGAGTGGACTGTTTGGGACATGTGAAATGTGTTAATTTAATACACTCTTTTACTGTATAGTGCAAAACTCACTGAATTTTTCCAACCTATGAACCGACCCTTGAAAGTCCCAGTGATATTCGTTATCAATTTGTTTTATCCCAGAAAACCCTTATCCAATTGCTCATTAAATTAGTAAATAATATAAATTTTACATTAATTAAATACTATACATTGATCAAATATTATATATTAAATACTATACTATATTTTATTATACTTTATACTTTATATAAAAATAATACAAATTTTGCGTTAATTAAATACCAAAAAGTAAATTATATATAAAGTTTCTCTCCGAATTCATGACCTTCACTTCGAGATTTTCTGAGCATTCGAAGACCACTTTTTCTTGCCGAAAATATCGAAGGAGGTCATGATTTATGGCAACTCTTCAATTTTCAACATATCTCCGCGTAGCTAAACCTAAAATTAAAATTCTGTTCAAGTGGAGGCCATTTGAAGTTGATCGAAGAAAACAGTTTCGTTATCTATTTAGTCGCCTGAAACGAGAGTTCGTGAGAATCTCGTTTTTCCGATTGTTTGTATCCCGGAAATCATTAACACCCTACATTGTTGCTAAGGAAAACTTATTGGATTGTCCGATAAATTCGCAGGGAATTTTTATGAAAAATTCGAAGCCGACACTTTTAGTTAGGCGTAACTTTATTTTTATTTTCTTCGACCTGTTCCCATCGCGCGAGAAAGACGGTCGACACATTGTTGAACAAAATGATATGCCTGTTTATGAAAATACCAGGCCTGAGTCTCTCGAAAAAAGAGAAATACCTCCAAACTATCAGACGCCCGAATAAATTATTCAGGAAATCTATCGGTGAAACGAAGGTCGTGCGTTTAGGTTACACCCTGTATATCACGCGATATAGCATCGCGTATTAACACCCCCTTCAAATCTCACCACGTACCTCGCCGTATTCCGTATATTAATTTCAATAGAAATTCTCCTCTGGCGCGAGTTAATCCGCGACGTCATTTCACCGTTTCGCGATATAAAGAAGGCCTCGTGTTGGCGTGCGAGCGTTTAATATTGCCATTCATTAGACGATTACCGTCACCTTTGCACCGCCGGCGCGTAAGTTCACGTTCTTCCTGTCCTTCTCCCTCTCTCACCTTCGTTCCCCGCTTTTGTCCGCACGCGGACGGAGAAGACGACGACGACGACGACGAGAGCGCGCGGTAAACGAGAATCTACGGTATTTTAAAGAGAGATCGGGGAATAAGCGACGGCGAGGTAAAGGGCAGCGGAGTGCCGCGACAAACGGAGCGGAGAAACGGCGGTCACGTGACGCTCAATCGCGTCGCGACGTTAACGCGATCGAAATCCGCGGACGCGAGATCTTCGAATCAAAGGGGGAAAAAAAACCCACGCAATTACGGCGAATTTCCGATCCGCAATTCCCGAAGAGCGACGGCATCGAATTCCGGAAATCGTGCTCGCGATTGCGAGGAAGAGGAAGAAAAAAATGAAAATGGAAAATCGATCGTTCANCCCCCCCCCCCCCTCACGTGTTATCGACGTGACGCGACGGCAGGACTGATAGTAGCAGGATAAAAACGAGATGAAGAAGCCGCGGGAGAAGTTTCCAAAGTGCTCTCGAATAAAATTTTCCGACGAGCGATAATCGAGTGTACGCGAAGAGGGGAAGAAAAAAAGATTATATGCGCGGTGCGGGCTGAAAGTTACGCTATACGCTGCGTCACCGTTAAAGTTACGTCGCTCTCTCTCTCTCTCTCTCTCTCTCTCTTTCTCTCTCTCTCTGGTTCGTCTCTTTTCCTTTTTGTTCCCTCCACCTTCTACATGCGTCGTCGCGCGGTAATAGCTTTTGTTCCGGATCGAGTTCACCCCGCAGCTCCAGCTTGAAGGGAAAAACTCGATTATTTATCGTCGCGGGAGACTAATTGTTCGGGCGAAAAATCGCGGCCGCGCTTTCGAACTCGTCGGCATTCCCCGGCTAACTTTTATCGCCGCGAACTTCGAGATTCTCTCTCGGCGCGGGGAGTGCGTTTTACCAGCGCCGCGGCGTTAATTCGATTAATGCGAGTCGAACGGCCGAGCAGAGGAGGGGGAGGGTAAATTGGATTGTCGCCTTTTCGGCGATTTTTTTTTTTCGCAAACTCGTTCGAAGCGAAATTATCCCGCCCGATAACGCGTGCTCCGCGCGGCAAGCAAATTTCGGATTTCACGCTCGTTATTTTCCGACTGGGAATCCCGAATGATAACACGAGAAATGGCGGACACGTATGCTCGAATTTCCGATGTTCGCGTCACGTTATTAAATCGCGATGTTCGTCAGCCGGACGAATAGCGCTATAACGTATCAGCTGCGGTTCGGCGATGAATGAAATGCGCGCTCGAGTGCGCTCTATTTCGCTGGTCCCGCATTCGTGCACGTGCGGGAACTCGGCCGTGGCCTCCTTGCCCGATAAACTTGAAAAAGCTCAACGAACCGTCGCCCGTGCCAAACGCAAGTTTCCCTTCGTCGTAAGACAAATTATCATATTGTCATGTGGTCGTGTGCTCAACGAAAATTAATGATGACTTTGTTCTAACGATAACTAACAAAATTACGACGGGAAGTTAATCGGCCGTGGATCATTAACTTCCCGACGGCAGCGGGGGCTGCCTTCCCCCGCTGTGGAGCATTATCGTGTCTTCAGAAATTACGGACGAGAGACGAGTAAGAGATACAGGTAGAGATAAATAGATAAGTACGTAAATAAATAAATGGATAAATAGAGAAGGNGGGGGGGGGGAGCGGGAGAAGAGAAAAATTGATTATGAGTGGTGTTTATTAATTGCTCTTTCAAGACGTGTAATATACACATTAAATACTATAATAAGTTCTACATAATGGAAAATAAAACGAAAATAAAAATGAGATAAAAATAATGTTGAAGAAAAAGAGCAGGAAAGAAGGAGGAAAGAAACAAAGGAAATATTATTCGAGTTTTCATAATATTAAATGTTTTCTTCTAAATTTATAGTTAGATTTATTTATTTCTGATTTCTTTATCGAGAGAGAGACGTCATTCCTTCTCGAGTTTCCAATAATAAATCACGCGAATATATATATATATATATATATATATATATATATATATTCATATGTATATGTATTTCTTTTGTTTCACCAAGTGCAGTTTCGGCGTGACAGGAGCGATTTATTGGCAATTGCGACGATTACGAAGGGCGAACTCGCGAAATTGCCGTAATTACCCCGGACTTGTCCGGGGTACCGTCTCCCCCGAGTCACGCTCGAGTTGTCGTCCCGATACGACGAAGTTTCTCACGAGGAAACGTCCCTCGATACGTCATCGCAACGCGCCGGCGTTCCCGCCAACTTCGCCACGAATGTTAATGAACTGTCAACAGTCGCGAGAACCGACGCCCGACCGCGAATTTCGCCAAGATTTGACGGAAAGTTAATCGGCCGTGGATCATTAACTTCCCGACGGCAGCGGGGGCTGCCTTCCCCCGCTGTGGGGGCATTATCGTGTCTTCAGAAATTACGGGCCATGATTGACTTCCACTCTGTCTCCCTAACTAACTCGACACAAACCTCGTTCTAAGAGCCTCTTTGTATAACTCTCGTAGAAAACATAGCAATACATAACAGCGTAACTGAAAATTATTATTATTATCGTGTGTTATAATCAATTATATAATCGTTATGTTATCACAATGTATATATTTTATATGTTAATAATTCGCTATAACAATATTAATTATATATAGATATAATCATAATATTATGAACGAGTCATAATTAATATAATATTAATATTATAACGCATACAGATAGGGATAAAGTAATAATAATAAAACGGATCGAAATTTTCACTTATATTCTCCTTCGAACAAGCGAGCGTGCGAGATAAACGGTCTCTTTTCGCGCATCATGCGCGCTGTCATGTAAATAACACGGGCGTCACCTGTCTGGCCGTGATTCACGGCCTGTCGTTCATCGAAGAACGTCGCGTCTAAAGATACCGGCGTCTCGCCGGCGGATTCCCCGTCTCACGAATCTCTCGATCCGCTAATCGAGTGATAATCCGTTTCGGGTCGAATCCTCGCGGGAGGCATCGATACGAGAGAGCGAATTACGAGCGCGAGATTGGAAGCATCTGTTGTTCGCGCGAACGGCCAACAAAACGGTGGAGCCGACGGCTATTCGTCGCACGGCGAACCGCAAATTGCAGCATCGTCATCGTCGTCGCCCTCGTCCTCTGGATTCGCGACGAGAGGACTCCGGACCCGGAAGACTCGGGACTAAATTATACGCGGCGATCGTGAATATGAAATGTTCCGGCGGCGGTTCCAAGAAAGCGAACGGGAGAAATCGTTGACGGGTTTCGTCGCTTACGTCGGTAATGACCGTCGTCGTTAATAATACACACGCGGCCCCGCGGTCAGCCGTATTCATGCACTCTCGCGGAGAGATGCACTCGCACAAATAATACATCCGCCGCGTGCGTAACACGCCCGATGCGATTGTCATTACCGGCGCTCGCCGTGACGTGACGGCCGCTACGGTTCGCCGCCGGCCGCGGGAAAAAGCGCCATTATCCGCATCCACGCGGGGATTTATTGCCCTGTTTCTTGCCTCCCGATATTATTACGACGGATTAACCGACATTCCCGTCATTTTCGGACGTGCGAAAAAGCGACCGGACATGCCACCGGCGAGAGAGATATTCCAGCCAGTCTTTCCCGGCTCGAAATTTCGATGCTGCTTTGATGTTCGTAAGGATGTATCGGCCATTAATCGCGGTATTCTCAGTGGCGCATGAAGGAGCCCCACTTGTACATTTTTGATATTTAACAAGCGAAATTATGCTTCTATATACTGATTTCACTAACTAAGTGATAAATGTTAATTTCGCACGAAGCTGAGCTAGACATATATATGCAATATTATTAAAGTAAGAAAGTATCAGAATTTCTTTTTTTTTTTTATTTCTAACTTTTCAGTTGACCTAATAGAGATGCACGGGTGACGGAAAGGGATATATAAGTATTTAAATATGTGCATATGTACATATCTTTATATATACATTTCTATGTGATATTTTATTATTTCGAGTATTATTATAAGTTACGAATTTTACGCAGTTTTTTGTTTTAAAAACAAAATAATTCTGAAATTTGTGTACACTGACAAATTCATTTAGTTGATTCAAACAAAATTTGTTTAGAATATGATGAAATAAATGTTTGAAATTGATCGTTTAGCTTTCTATTTATTTTTATTTAACTATGTATATTCATTTAATGATAATTCATTTATCTCTTTCAACGTGCGCTTGTATTTTTTCCTTTTATACATTATTTATATCATGTCTCGATTTTTATTATATTTTTATATTTTTCAATATCGTTTAATTTTATCTTTTAATTTATTTCATTCTACCATTCATTAAACGTGTATATTCGTTTAATGAGTTCCTGTTAAGTTTCATTTAAAATTACTAAAGTGATTATGAATAAAATAATTAGAAGTAAAATTTGATATTTCTCGCTAAAGCATTCGACTTTTTTTCGCATTCACGAAGACTGCGACGGACGTGGAGAGTGGAAGGAACATGTCGATTCGATCGATTCGATCGATATCGTTTGACGTGTGAAATGAGCGTTTAAAATCGTCTCCGCGTAAATTGTGCAATTCGAGGGGCACTTAATAACGGGAAATTCTGACTGCGGAAACGCGTGGTTCTCTCGCGCTTGTGCATACGAATTTCCGCCGCCGCCGGGGTTATTCGAGGGTTTCACGCGGAGGAGGCGCTGAGAAAAGTTTCCTGTCGCAAACTGGCCCGAGGATCTCTAAAGCATTAAATAAAACCCATAAAATTTCGCGGGGAGATGTCCCGCTGTTAATAACGCGCCAGTGGAATTTCATAACGCTGTTCACGCGCTGGAAATTATATGCGAGAGTTGTGCAATAATTGGTAGACGGCCGATTTTAGAATCGGAATGTTGAAAAATTTATCAGTAGAGTATTTGCAAACGTTCATTAAATCGCTAACTATTTCACCGACTCGAAAGACAAGTCATTTTATATACACAGAACCAGACAATCACCTGGCGGAAAGCTGGCAGAAAGTGATAGACACCGATGTGCATATGTGTGCGTATGTGTGGCAAATAATTTGATTAATAGCGTATTAATTTCAATATTAAAGTAATAACAGCGTATTATTCCGTTATTATTATTAACGAAACAATAATTTAATAAGGGGACTTATTACGGGAAAAGAAAGATTCTTGAATTAAATAATACAAAGAAGTAAAGCAATGTGAGAACAGAAGAGAAGATCGGAAGAGTAAATAAATAGACCCAATATACATATAAACAAACAAATTAATAGAAGGAAGGGACGAAAAATCCCGGCGACTTCTCGCGAGCTCCTGATAGAAAGATCTCGGAGAAATTCGAACACTCGTACTTTCCTACGATCCGATCATTTCCGGCTCCGCGTATATTCCCCGTCCGTTTTTACGAGTGCTAAATTCCGCGTTCCGAAATTCCTCGATCCTCTCCCGATCTGCCTCGGGCGCATCACCTCCCGTTGTCCGGGGAGTCTTAGAGCTGAGGAAGAGAACTCGCGTTCGGTCGCAGACGAGAGACCCCGACGTACGTATTTCTAGAACGAACTCCCCTGCCGGAAGTGATCGTCGCGTCGCCTTCGTCGAGCGTCCGGCGAGCTGGACGACGAACTATCCGCGCGATACCACGACGTCCGATTCGCCTCGGGAGTGTGTCCGTAGGCGGAAGAAGCGGAAGAAGAAGCGGTCGAATCGCCGCGATGAAATCGAGCCGCGAGCAGCGGCGAGCGCGCCGCGGACGGAGCCGCGCAGCGAACACCTGACGCGACGGTTCGCGCGACCCCGGGAACGCGAGTCTGTGATGGAAATCGAGGACCAGCCGATGGCCGCGGGGCAGGGGGCGAACCGGTCGGTGGGGAAGTTCGGCCTGGTCGCCGATGACGGCCTCGTCGCCGGTGAGACGCGGAACGTCGCGCTCACCGCGCTCAAGGGCGCCGTGATGATCGGCATCATCGTGACGGCGCTGCTGGGCAACGCCCTGGTGATCGCGAGTGTGCGCCGCCACCGGAAGCTACGGGTACCGACGAACCGCTACGTGGTGAGCCTCGCGACCGCGGATTTCCTCGTGGCGGTGTGCGCGATGTCGTTCAACGCGTCGGCCGAGCTGTCCGGCGGCCGTTGGCTGCTCGGCCCGGTCATGTGCGACGTGTGGAACTCGATGGACGTGTACTTCTCCACCGCCTCGATCCTGCATCTCTGCTGCATCAGCGTCGACCGTTACTACGCGATCGTGCGGCCGCTCGAGTACCCGGCGATCATGCGCACCGTCACCGTCACCGCGATGCTGGCCAGCGCCTGGTGCTTACCGGCGCTCATCAGCTTCATCCCCATCTTCATGGGCTGGTACACCACCGAGCGGCAGCTCGAATTCCTACGGGAACACCCGCAGGTAGACAGGGTCTCCCGAAGCGGCCTCCCGATGCGCCCGATCTGTCGTTTTCTTCCTTCTCGGCGCGTTTCCACGGTTTCGGGGGAAAACTCCCTTGATTCTCACGTTCTGCTCGGTGTTTGAAATCGGTCTTGTCTCCCTCTTATATTTGCATACGACGGGCGAGCGTCCTGGCATTTTGTAACTCTGTTTCGTAGATTAGCTTCCAAATGAATGTTCCCGTGTTGCAAAACAAAGTCGCTGAAACGCCAGAGCGCTCACGTCAGATCACATGGAGTCGCATAAAAATGTAACGGGGGAATTAAAGTGATCCCGGGTGAAATAGTCTCGAACAGGACCGGCAGGGTTCAATGATTTCGATCGGAGCGAATCGGTGCGGTCGAATTCCCCTCCCCGGAATAAATTGCGCAGGTCAACAGAAAACTTGTATCCCACGTATGAACCGTTAATTTTGCGGTGCTAATTACAAATATGACAGTTGCAGTCAAAATTCAGAGCTTGAATTTCCAACAGTAGACAACGAACGAAAGGGAATTCGGTATTTGAGGGTTTAACGGTGTGCAGGAAAGGGAATATGCATCTTATTTATAAGGAAGCTAAATGTAAACGCTACTTCGAACGACTGTTGTAAATAATTCACTCTAGCGCGAAAATGGCTCGTTTGCAAACACAAGCTGATTGATCGATTCGATTTAGTATCCTTCATAAACAGCCGAAATTCGTCGGCTTAATTTCGGGACATCTTATCTTTACCCGCTATCAACATTTGAAAATGAGACGGCGAATCGAAATTAAGAGTACGTCATTCTATAAAAATCTGAAAGAAGTGAGTGTTACGTTACATACACTGTCTAGTAACTAATTATGACTTTTTTATATCGTAACTATAATTTCTTTCGTTTAACCATCAGCTAGCTTATTTATCTAGCCATCAGGAGAAGTGAGCATCGCATTATATTGGTTAGCAGCGACGTTAGACACAAATCTACTACTTCGTCGGCTAGACACTCTACGAGGTTGAATTTCCACTAGGAAAACAGGACCTGTTTGCGCTTCCCACTTAAAGCCGCGCCTTTGAAACATTATACTTCCGACTCGATCTCCGTAGATTTCCCAGTCGGGATTTCTGACTTTCTCGAAAGATCGGACTGAATCCCAGTTGGATCGTAAAGAATTTTCTACGTCGGTCGATTCGAAGAACGAGACGCGGCAGATTTGTCTCGGGAAATTAAAAGGAAGGAAAAATTCAAAGAAGAAAATCGAAACGTGAAAATTCAAAACAGAATTTCGGCAACATTACCAAGTGACGACGGCGCACCGGCGCTCCCGGCCGCGCGTCAAATCGACTCCGAAATTTCATTCCCGGCATTCGTGGCGACTTTCCCCGAGCTCTCGACGAACAGGCACACGGAGATCGAGATCTGAAAGCCCGACTTTTGCGCGCAGGTGTGCGCTTTCGTGGTGAATCGGCCGTACGCGATAGTGAGCTCCCTCGTGTCCTTCTGGATCCCGGGCGTCGTCATGATCATCATGTACTGCAAGATCTACAAGGAAGCGGTGAGACAACGCGCCGCCCTGAGCCGAGCGTCTAGCAGTACGGTGTTGAACAACGCTGTTCACGCGCGTCGCTCCTCCGGTGGTTCCCGACACCACTCGAGGACGTCGCACCAGCTGCTGCTGCATCCGAGCGACGCCAGCGACTACGGCAGGCCGCCCCTCTCGTATCGAGCCTCCGCAGCGGAGCTCAACATAGAGAACGGTGAGTGTCGCGTCGGAACGTGTGGCTGAGTGTAAGAGGGAAAACGAGAGATAAAGAGAGAGAAAAATGCGGGAAAACGAGGGAAATGATCAAAGAGGGAGAGAGAGAAAGAGAGATAATGACGCTTGAGAAAGTTTCAAATTTCGAATTTTGAAGGGAGCGCTAAAGCGTCCGCTCTCGATGTGTAGTCTAAAATGGAATTTGATGCGGAAGTGCGATTGGAAAACGAAGTCGGGGAAATTCGGTCGTCGTTTATCATTCGGATTACCCGGGAAAACTTCGAAGCATATGTTTACAGGTCTAATATCGTCATGTGAGTATTTAAATATCATACGCTAGATATTACATGATATTATTATCACTCGTATTATATATAGGGTGTCCCAAACTAATCTCGGTTCCCATGGCGTGCAAGTAGAACGGGTGAAACTGTGCGGGAAAGTCATGTGCTATTTTGCAAAATTCGCAATAATTGACGAGGAATTAATTATTTTGTCTGAACTAATGAGCGCACGGGAGGTAGGCTAGACTCTGTGTGAAGAAAAATCGCTCCCTTCTGAAGATCTGGTAACGATGAGTATCAACTGACAGCGAGAAGCGCGTTTCTTTTCGGCGCACAGCCCTGTGTCACATGCCGTTCGCTGCCTACTGCGTTACTACTTTAGAAATAGGATGGTGAATAATTCATAAAAATGTTAACACAATGAAAATTCCACCGAGAATCAAAATGTTCACACATCTCTCTGGCAGAACTCTGATTCCAACGCGAGGGTCCAAAGTATCCTTAAAAACGGTATTACGAGATGGAAAAATAAATTGCGTCAAATTACACGATATTAAGTAAAAATAAATTTACAAAACCTAATTGAACTCCTTAATATGTATCGCGACAATCACGACGCACGCTGGGCAGGACGCGTTTGCGCCGGAAATCGTCTGAATCGGAGCGAGGAGACTATATCGTGGACGCTTTCAGCGGGTGCATGGCGAAAATCACTCGAGCGTTACCGGAGCCGCGAGAAATGATCGCGCAATTATCGCCCGGTGAAACCGAACGGTGCGGCGAGAATTCGATTGCGTTTTCCTTCACCGGCGGTTTCTCGCGAAAGCGGCTTTAATGCAACGTTTCAGCCGATGCGCGCGCACAAAGCGAAAAGATTATTACTCACCGGCCCGCGGCGATCCGCCGTTTTCTTGCGGCCGTCCGTCCGTTCTCGGCCGATACGTCGAATCCGTCTCCGGCAACCGTGTAATCATTGATCCGAGGAGAAACCTCGCGTCGATTTTAGCCCACCGACACGGCAAATGACACGGCACGCCGAAATGATACGCTCGGTCGTTATTACGTCATTACGAGGAATTCGGCCTCGCATCGGAACGGAGGTGATTAAGAGCACGGTTTCGCCGCGATTGATCTCACGATAACGATAACGATAATTTCCCCGTTCTTTTCATTCCTTATGCCTCGGCTGGTAGTGTCTTATGAATTATCGATACCGTGTGATTCCGTATTCCAACGAATCCGATGTTCGTTATAGACGTCACCGAAACACATTTCACGTCTACATCAGAGGGGAAGCGCCAAAAGCGACATTTTACTTTTGGGATTTAAAGCCCTCTTTCGGAGGCGTAAAATTAACATTTATATATACGAATAACAGATAGATAACAAAGTTTAGTTTACATCACAGATGTATGGGGTTTGCTTAAATAAAATTTTAATCTGACACCAAGCCGCACAAAGACATGGAATATTACGAATTGGATAATCGCAGAAAGCTATTATTTTCCTCGACATTCTCATTAAGAAAAAAAATCCCCAAATTGTTCACATAATCTGCTTTTATAAAATACACGGTGAATATGCTGTAAACGTCGGATCGGTCGAAAAGTTTGATTTGTTTCGTGCGTCAAGCTTGTCGTCTCGTTACATTCAATGGGAACAAACTGTTCGTTAATCAAGTAATCACCGTAGTCGTCCATGATTCCTCGCTTCCAACTTTCTGGCGGTAGGATCTCAACACATTATCGCCCCTGATGTTCATGCGGCATATAATTCATCGAAAGTCGAGCCGAACTTTCTAACCGATTGATATATTACACGGCAACCTCGCTCGTTGTCGCACGAAACGCCACTTCCATTGCACGAAAAACCGAAACCGCGCGAAAGCGGATAACGCAAATCGCCGATTCCCGGCGAGAGATTTCATTTATATCTGCCGATGACGGGATATTTCTTATCGAAAAGGTGAAAGGGTGCGACACTGAGTATCGGTTTTCCATTGAATCTTCGCTGACGACGACTTGCCTTCGAATTCGTCGAAGAAACCCCGAAGTCCAAAGATACCCCCCCTCCCTTCTAACCCCCAATCGGCAGTTATCCGTGACACCTCGTCGTTCCAGCACACACCATGTGCAGGATAACGGACGTCCTACGTAAAATGCAATTTCCGCTGTTTATTTCCAAATAGAATCCCGCAAGAGCGTGTAATCGTTCAGCCCCCGGAACGGAATTTCTACCGGCGTTTGTCGAAATTAATCGAACGTTCGATCCTTGAGATCGCGGATTTTTCACGAGAAACGATCCGTCGAGGGATATCTTCCGTGGCGGATTAAAGGAGCGTCGATATCGCAAGGACGGAAGAAAGAGATAAGACTTGACTCCCGGCGAAAGTTTAAACGGACCGGTCACGATGGTTCCGCTCATTATTTATTATTCGCTATTTGGCGAGGGAAATAATAATAGGATACGAACGGTAATCGGATCGAGCATCGCGTGCGAATGGTCCTCCGCGATGAAGCGGATAACCCAGACAAACTTTCATGATCATTACGTGCAGCAAGCAATGATGGAAAATTAACCATTTTTCTTTATTACCCAGTAAGTACCAATTATCGATAGTGTGACATCAATATTTTCTCATGCGACAATATAATTGTTACATTATACACAGGTTATATTGCATTTACATCGCTGAATGGGAGATTATAGTATTGATGTTACGTTAAACGGTTAATCGATATTTACTAGGGTACATTTACGAAGCAGATATACCATGTTGAATTAAACATTAAGTTTACAATCACGTTAATGATCCCTATAGCTTAGATTGATCCAGCCTCTCAATAAAGATGTTAACGAATGATCGAAATATAAAAGAAACGAATATTATAGTTATAAGAAAGAATTATTCTAAGAATTCTAAGAATTAGGTTCTCACGTACACATTAAATTTATATTATACAATGATGCAAATTTGTTTATGCTCAATATTTGTTAATTGAAAAATTCTAATGTCCAATTTCTTGCTAATGACAACCGGCTTTTGCTGACTTATATATTTTTTTTATTGTAAACTTTGTGTTGTACTGATGCAACGATAAATTTAGTAAAACTTACGTTCGGACTTTCATAAAGTTTACACCGAGAAAAAATATCTTTGATATTTGTAATTATAATTGCATAAATGAATGAAGGCGAGTATAATTTTAGTAAGATTTCTCTCGGTATACGTGATATGTTGTTTCAAACAAAGTTTAATAAGTTTAACAAAGTTTCAACTTTTTTCTGTCATATTTCTTTCGTATTTCTATTTTATCAATCTACCTAAGTCGAAATTTTAATTCTACTAAGGATAACTTGCGTCTACTTAGACGGCCCATAGACTAAAAACCTACTTTGACGATATTGACTTCTCTCTCGAACTTTTAATACTATAGATTGAATTTTAATGAAAGCTTGAACAACCTATTTTGACGTAAATAGAACGAAAACGAAAATTTAAGACATTGTCAGGTTCAAAGTAGGCATAAATTATACTTTTACAATTGAAATTGGACATATTTTACTATCTTCTACAACTATTGTTGTAGAATTAAACGTTTAATTTAGAGTCGAAATTTCAATTCGGGTATGTGACGAATATACAGAAAAAATTAATATGAATTCAAAACTCATATTATCATATATAAGCAAAAATATACAATCTTATATGAAAATAAAATAAAACTTGTTCTTATAAGAAAAAAATCTTGAGAAATTCTATATAGATCTAAAAATATATTTGATGTATTATTCAAGAAAATTTTCATGAATTAATAGGACAAAATATTGAATAAAAGAAACAATATCGTCAAACAAAGAATTGTATCAATTTGTAGACATCGTTCATTCTATTTAATATTTTTAATTAATCTCAATTCACGAAAATTATTCTTTAATAACAAGAATTCATATTTTTAATGCAACTCTATAGAATTTCTTGATATAAGAGCAGTTTTTATCTTCATGTAAGATTATGTATTCTTATTTATATATGAGAATATTAGTTTCAAATATCGATAAAATATAACTAATTTTTTTCCGTGTACGAATACCAGATAAACAACTCGCAACACTCTGCAACCCTTGCAGCAACGTCGCTGCCAAATTTATCCACCAATTTACACACTCGTCCGGATGATATTCGCGTGCGGAAAAGACGTCGCCAGACGCGGTATAGTCCTCTAAGTTCTTACGTAAATTGTGCCGCGTTTGAAATTCCTCTCAATAGAAGAAGAGCACGCTTTTATTCTGCCGCGGCCGACAAACGAGATCTCGTTTGCGAACTTTTGCGGCAACCCGTCTGTCCGCCCGCCGTCGTTTTGCCGCGCAATTTTGCCCGAGCGGGGAGCGCTCGAGCGATGAAGGGGTGGGGAAAGGGGGAGGCATCGACGAAATAACGGTATCGATCTGGCGTCACTACGGAGTAAATGTTAAACGCGCTGCTAAACGTCCGCCACATTAGAAAGCGATTACGTCTGCAAACACGCCCTCACGTCGGCCCGGATTAATCATCCACGCTTACCGTAGACAGCGCGGCTGGTGGCCCCCGCCGCCGGTCTGCAATATCGCACGCCATTCACCATTCTGTCGAAAACACATCGCGGCGGATTTCGCGAAACGTTATTTGCTCGGCCTAAAAAGAACACGTCAGCTGTGCAGGCGCGCCAAGAGGAAA